CTAGAAGGAGTCCAGAGTTCTCATTATAATCCTGTGCTTTTAGATTCACATTAAATAAAATTTCAAGAAAGGCAACAAACTAGTGTCAGTGGGATTAGAGTGAATCGGTAGCTATGAGCTAAGGAATTATCCAAGTGGAAGGGCCCCAATTCTTGTGTTCCTCATTGTCAGTGATCAAATCATTAATCTCCATTTGCAAAAGTCTACAGAATTTTCTGGGGTTCTTTTATTTTAAAAATAGTAATAAATTATAAGTAATTTGGAAAATTCTAAAAATACAAGGAATAAAAGAAAATCACCCATAATTTTACAACCTATTGATGAATTCAGCTAACATTTAGTTGTATGTTATCCCAACTCTATGGATATTTTTATCCACAAACTTGAACTCATGTTATATATATTTTGTTTTTTTCCTTTGTAACATGCTAAGTATTTTTCTTGAAATAATTTAAATTTTTGTATAATATGCCACTCTAAGATATGACCTAAGATTTTGTTTTCCTTTGAGTATTTAAACCAATCCTCTGTGGTGGATATTGATGTTGTTTACATGTTCTTTTCCATTATAAATAACATTACAATAAACAGCATTTAACAAAAAATTTTCTGCATATCCATGATTAATTGTTTAAGATATATTTCTCTTACAGGTAGAACTTTGGATTAAAAATAAATTAAACCTTTACAAAACTTTTAAGATAGATTTCAAATCCCTCCCCACATCTCTGAAAAGTTGTATCAGTTCATACGCCTGTTGTCAGTGTGGTGTTTCTCTACTTTTAAAATATTACAGTGCTGATTCTTCTCTTTACAATTATCTTTTTTTCTGATGTTTTTCTTGTCTCACTTTTGCACTCCTTTATCAACTTTTATTCCTTAAGTTTTAAAATGATCATTGCGTAAAGTTTATTTTGACATTGCCTTGAACATTTTGTTGAAAACATTTTATAGCATCCTCATGAAAAAGAATCATACTCAAAAATTAAGAACTCACCGAAAAGCAATATATATTCATGGAAAGTGTCCAGTACTAGGTGAAGGACTCCTCTGGCAGGTGCCTGAGAAGCACAAGGCATGGTAACCCTCAGGGGTCTCATGATCTTAGTTGGAGAAATACAACCAAGCTTGTATATTTTAAAGAACAGTGCTTTCTCAGCCTTTCTAGACCTGTGCCCCCCAAATACTGTCTCATTATCTTCTGTGTATCACCTATCTCACTCTCCAAAATTTTGCCCAGTTTCTTTTTGTAATTTGTATTATAAACTAAAGAACCAGGCCCATTGAATGTGCTCTTTCAAACTCCCTGTGCACAGATGCTCATCCTGTTCTGTTGTTTATTGCTTCCCCCAGTGGAGAAGTACTGCTTTTGAGAATTACCCAAAGCAGGATTCTTTGAAATGTACTCTAAGAACCTGAGATAGAGAGAGTTTACCACTGAGACCTGGCTTGATAAGGCCTAAGTTAAACTTTTTCTCTTTTTTTGTTTTTTAAAAATTTATTTAATTATTTGAGAGAGAGGGGGGGGGAGAGGGAGAGGGAGAGGGAACGTGCATGCACATGCGAGCTGGGGAAGGGGCAGAGGGAGATGGAGAAAGAGGAAGCAGACTCCCCCCTGAAGGTGGAGCCCAATGCAGGGCTCAATCTCACTACCTCTAGGTCATGATCTAAACTGAAGTCAAGAGTCCGATGCCCAACCAATTGAGCTACCCAGGTGCTCCTAGCTGGATCTGTGCCTCCTTCCACAGAATGCTCACCTTTCCCTTTTCCCATGTCGCTTTCTTTTTTTTTTTTTTGCGTTTATATAACATCCAGCCTTTTTCCTGATTCCAAACATCTTGCTTCACAGGTTGGCATTCTGCCTTGGGCCCAGTAATTGGCTTTCTTGCTCCGTCCCTCACTCTCTGTTCCTGGACTGCTGCTTGTTATTCACTTCTCATAGACCCAATGGCCTATTCTTTTCCTCCCTGGAATAAGCCCCCCATACCTTTTACTAACCTCCGTGTTAGAGCACAGTGCCTGGCCAACACAATGTACATAATCAATATATGTTGAATGAATCAATGAATTGGGAGCATTCTCTTATTTGAATTTAAGTTTATGTCTTGGGCTTAGTTGAGACACGTTGAAATATGAATTTCTCATTGTCTTTCTTTCTCTCCTCCTGTTCCAGGTTCCTTGTTTTTGTTTTCTTATTTTTCTACATCAAGTACTGTACTAGACATGCGACACATGTTATTTCCAGTCTTCACAACAGTCTTGCAAGACAGGTGTTTAACCAAGGTCATTTTACATACGAGGAAACTGAAGGTCCCAGAGGTTCATTAATTTCTCCAAAATCACTCAGCAAATCAGTGGTCGACTACACTTCTCCATGGAGCCACTAACCATTAGTCTCATTCCTTAGGTTTCTGTGCTTTATTCTTTTGGCCTTCCCATGACTGAATATCCTGATTGTACACTATTATCTTTGCCTTCATCCCAGTTGAGATAGAAGGAATGATGACAGAATGACAAAGGTCTTGCCAAGATCTTGACATGAGAGGTTGAAGCCAGGGACTGAAGGAGTTAGAAGGGCCCAAGGTAGCTCCACATTTTCAGTCTGAGAGAGCAGAAGAATGGTAGTATCACCAAAAGAAATGGGTAGTTAAGAAGTCTTATTCCTGTAGCTTGTTAAATCAGATAGTGGGTGGAAGTCCAGTGACTCTACTCCTTGGTTAACCATGGACAAGTCTCTTAGCTTCTCTGAGTCTCAGTTTCCTCATCTTTCCTGAAGCATAATTTTCTTCCACTCTCATGTTTGTTTTTGGTTTGTTAATCAAGTGATACAGTAGATTTGAACTTGCTCTGTAAGGAGTCAAGTCGTGTGCACATGTTGGCTGGTATCACTACTGTCAGATATGTATAAGAATTAGGCTGTAAATGGAGACACCAACTTTTTGGATAAAGTGTGTCTATGCCAGGGGTCAGCACACTGTGACCTATAGGCCAGTCTGAACTGGTACCCATTTTTGTATGGCCCATGGAAAAGGATGTCCTTTACATTTTAATATGGTTGAAAAAATAAAAAGAAAGATACTTGTAACATATGAAAATTACATGAAATTCAAAGGTCAATGTCTATAAATAACACTTATTGGAATATAGCCAAATCCATGTTACTATACTATATATGAGTGCTTTCACACTGCAACAGCAGAATTGCATAGTTGTGACAGAGATTGTATGGCCTGCAAAGCTTAAAATATTTACTATTTGGCACTTTACAAGAAAAGCTTGCCAATCCCTTGTCTATACTTTTGAGGAGCCATTTCTAGGTCTACCACTCTGTGTTCTTCCTATCTGTTGAAGCTTCTGGAGAGGAAAGGAAATTTAAAGAAATCTCGAAAGGTTTTCACTTGCTTACTAATTTCTTTGATAATATTTGTCTTCTTTTTTCCTTTTGCATGTTTTTATAAAATAATTTTTATTCAATGTTGAAACATTTAAAGATTTTATTTATTTATTCATGAGAGACACAGAGAGAGAGGGAGAGAGAGAGAGAGGCAGAGACAGGCAGAGGGAGAAGCAGGCTTTATGCAGGGAGCTTGACGTAGGACTCGATCCCTGCTCTCCAGGATCAGGTCCCTGGCTGAAGGCAGCACTAAACCTCTGAGCCAACCTGGGCTGCCCCTATTATAACTTTAAAAGGCAACCCCATTGCTAACTTCAAACTATCCTTAATATGGCTGTATGAACAATAAGAGAGACTCTTTTTTTTTTTTTAAGAGGGAGAGAGTAAGAGTGGGAGGGGCAGAGGTAGAGGGAGAGAGAGACAGAAATTTAATAAGCAGTTTCCATGCTCAGCACGGAGCCAACGTGGAGCTCGATCTCACGACCCTGAGATCATGACCTGAGCCTAAATGAGGAGTTGGACACTTAACTGACTGAGCCACCAAAGCACTCCAACCATAAGAGACTCTGAATGATAGAGAACAAACTGAGGGTTGATGGAGGGAGGTGTGGGGGGGAATGGGCTAGGTGGGTGATGGGGATTAAGGAGAGCACTTGTGATGAGCTCTGGGTGATGTAGGTAAGTGATGAATCACTGGATTCTATTCTTGACCAATATTGCACTGTATGTTAACTAACTAAAATTTAAAGAAAAAAAAAGGCCATTCCAACACATGTTTTCATTTTCAATGATACTTCCTTCTGTTCTCAGCATATGTACTTCCAAATGGTTGTAATAATGGTCTACTTAACATTTTCTGGTTGATGTAGTCTTTTTAGGTGGTTTTAAAACTGTTACTTGATTATTGCCTTTCCTTTTTTTTTTTTTTAAATAGTGGTTTTGCTGTGATGGAATGGTACAGTTTGTAAGCTATATATATTTCAGAAATACTTCCTACTTTTGCCATGGGTCAAAATTTTTTTCTTCAATTGTGAATGCAAATGCTTCTCTCTGGAGCCAGTGCTGAGTAGCACTGACCTGCCCATTGCCCTTTCCTACCTTACTTTGCTTGGACCTTGATTCAAGCGCAGAATACCTGTTGAGCTTAAAAATGGAGAAGGATGAGGAGTAATGTTAAGGAGAAATGTCATATAAGAAATGAACTTGATAATTAATTAATTAGGATACTTATCTAATTAATTAGTTTGCTTACTTATTTGGTGGTACATGGGCTGGGAGTGAACTTGATACTTTAAAGGTGATTTCCCAGACCTCCCTCCAAAGCATTCAATAGTAATAAAAATACATTTAACAAACAAAAATATTCTCTGTTCACCTAATGATGATGTGAAGGATATATTTGTGCTTTCTGTTGCATTTTTAAACAACTGAGAATAGAAACAAGACTATTAATGTCATGTTAATACTGTTGACCCTTTCACTGTATTTATACAATAAACTCAGTGCATCAAATTAACGTAATACCATGAAATATAAGTTATCAATTAACTTAATGAAAAAAAGTAAAAAGATGTCTGTTTATATTTTATTCTCTTATTTTCCTTAGTGAGAAGCTGGATGGAAAAACTAAAAGATAAGGTAAGAGAAATATTTTCTTCTTTTGGGCTTATCTTATAGGGCATGGCTTTGTCAAATAAAAGATCTCAGAGTAATGGAGCTTTATTTCATCGTTCTGGTTCTGGTCATCTGTGCAAGATGTGCAAAGATCTGTGCAAGATGTGCAAAGATGTAAGGCCACTTCCAGGTGCCCCACAAGAAGGAAGACCTTCCCTTTGTTTCTTCTTGTATAATGCAAGGGACACCTTATTCTTCGGAGCACCATTCCTTTCTATGAGGGCATCATCTACTATGCTCAGGTGAAAAATACCCTTGACATATCAAGGTGGAGTTTCTTCTAGGGATCAAGAGTGTAATACCAATTTACTTGGCATTTCTTGTACCAATGCAAGTTTCTTGTAAGCCTGATCCTCCTGTATAAGGAAGAAATACATGGATTTTGGAAGGCATCGATTCTTCTGACCCAAAGGCAAAAACTGATGGATTTCAGTTGAGAATAAAATATGGTTTGGCATCCTCAAACCATAGTGGGAGTGGGGTGGAATAAAAACACCTGGACACCTGAGCACCCCCTTAGATCAACTTTAATGTAGTCTCTCATAGTGCCACTACATATTAGGTGACAAAGGGTTGACTTGCCTGGAATGGCCAACTGTAAAAAAATATTTTCCTCTCTTGCATAATTCTGCCATCTATGTCTGATTGACAATATTAATTTCCTTCCAGGTTCCTATTTTTCATTTTCTTTTGATTTTTAGCACTCTCCAAGTTTACATTTTTGGTTACCTTAGAATTTTAAACTGGAATTACTCATAAAAATATTGATGGAATCCTGGATTCTTGCTGTAGCCTGTGTCAGATCTCATTACTATGACCCAGATGAGATTTAACTGAGGGTTTAGTGAATGGAAATCTTTTCAATTGCCACATATTGAGTTCTTTAAATCACCAGTCCCAACATATCCTTCTGTTGATTGTATTCTGTATCTTTTTTATTATTTGGAGTCAATTCTTCCCACATTTGGATCATCATCATATTTGGATGATTAATATTTATTTGGCTGCAGCTTAATGTTAAAGAATAAATTACAATGAAAAGTGTATGATTATATTAATTCCCCTCATTATTTTATCTTTGTGCTTCTCAGTAAAATTAAGCATAGATGGTTTTTGAGAATGAGACTATTTTGTGATATACTTATTAAAAGTAATATTGAAAAATTTTAAGCATGTTGAGGTTACTGGAGGTCATTTTGGTATCTGTAATAGGTCCAGTTGTCTAAGGGAGGTATTACTGGATAGACTGAGCATTTGGGGAAAAAAAATATAAAAAATTAAGACCTGAACACACATTAGTAGTGCTTTTTGTTATTTTTCAGGAGAAAATATGGTGCAATGAAAAGGAAATAGGCTTTGGTAGATTAATTTAGGAATCCATATATCGTTGTTTTTATTTTTTTTAATTTTTTTTATCGTTGTTTTTATAGAAAGTATCATCTGAGTAAAAAAGTGCACCAAAAAACCCTTACGAGAATAAATTTTTGCATGTAGCCAGTTTTGAAGTTGGATACTGCAAAATTTCTTACCTGTGTCAGTAGTTATCTTTACCATAATTTAAAAAAAATCTGTACAGCTTTATAAAAGGCTGTATTTTCTATTTCTGTAGATCCTTCTTGTCTTATCTCAAAGGCTTGGCACCTTCTCTCTATTTTCTCTCTATTTTCACCAAGAGAAATAATTTTATGTGTGACCCTTGAGGTTTTCCAGTCCTCTATTTTCTTTTATAGTATTTTTAAAGTATGTTTTAATTTAAAAAAAAATAGAAAAAAAATAATTGAGATTCTAACCATGTGTTGTCGTGTTTGTCTTATTTGATGCCTTATTTTTTCATATTTTGACTTTTTCTTGGAGGGACTCACTATAATCTTTCCAATTTTACCCCTTCTCCTCTGGGTAAAATATTATACATTTATCTGGGGCATGCCTTCATATGTGCACACATACATATGCATATACATATATGTTTCCTCTCTTCTTCTTTCCCTTTCTCCCTCCCTCACTTCCCCCTGCTCCCTTCGGGTATCTAGCTAACTAGTTGGCTATCATCTGTAAAAGTATTGTTAGTCATTATCTTCAGAAACTATCTGAGAGTGAAACTATTGCCTCTTCGATGAAAGTTACAGAATCCCTTAGAACTGGACACTAAATACTTATTTAACTGGCTCTTTTGCCAACCAGGATATCTTTTCAGTTTAGTATTATTCAGTTGTACCTGATATGGGTATTTCTGTTAGTTTGGCTCTAAAAAGAACAGTGTTCTAAAAAATTCTGAGTTATTCCTTTTGCTCTTATTGTTTAGTCTTTCTATATTAGTTAGGACTATAATCAGCTATGAGTGACAGAGAACCCCAATGATAATGGCTCACCCAAGATAGAAGTTTGTCTCTCATTCATGAATCTGGACTTAGCAGTCAAGGGTTAATGGGGGAGCAACATGGTGACAGGCTCCTTGTATCTGATGCTCTATCATTTGTGACCTTCATTCCCATGGTAGGTCATTTGTGACCTGCCATTCCTCATGTACTGGATGGCAGTTCCAACCTAGTAAGGTCCATATTCTAGCCAGGGGAAGAAGGAGAAGAGAAGGCAAAGACACCTCTCTCCTCTTCAAAAGGAAGATAAAAGCACTCTCATTCTCAAAATATGGGCAATAAAGGCTGTGGACTCCTCTTAAAGAGTATGTCCTGGAAGTTGCGCCTGCCCGTAATGCATTATCTTACGAGATTTATCACATGGTCACAGCCAGTTGTGCAGAAGGCAAGGAGAAGTGATTGTTACTGTGTGTCCAACTGAAATGGGAGGTTTCTATTGCTCTGGAAGAAGAGGTGAATGGATATTGAGGGACAGTCCCTGTACTCATTGCATCACCTCCCTTCTTTCTGTCTAAATGTCCAAGTGTAGTGATGCTTGTTAGGGAAATCCTAACTTGGCTACCTATTGATATATCTTTTCAACATCTAAAATACTTCTCGAAATTGAAGAGGCATAACAATTTTAGTATGTAATAAAGACCACTCTATTGTTGTGTCACCAAGATCATTCTGTTTCTTCTAGCTTTAGGAAATAACCCAGAAAATGAATGATCCAGACTATATTGCATAGCACTGATTCTCATGTGTGGTCTGGATCAGGAGCATCAGCATCACCTGGGAATTTGCTAGAAATGCAGTTCTTGGGCCCCACCCTATACCTACTGAGTCAGAAACTCTGGGGATGACGCCCAACAATCTGTTTTACCAAGTCTTGCAGGCAATTCCAATACATGTTTAGGTTTGAGAGCCATTGTTGCAAAGCAATATAAGGGCTCTGTCTTAACCCAGACAACTTTAGACAGTACAGCATATCATTTGGTTTTCTTATACATTTCTTGAAAACAGGTGTTTCTGAATGATGGAAGATACCTAAGAAGGAAGGATAATTTTCTCATGAATGTAAAACAAAGCAAACAAAAAAACCTAAACAAACTCAAAGTAAAAACAGCTATATCTAGTCATATCTTAACTTATATAGTCTGTTTTAAAAGTGTCAAACTTTTCACTGGGAACTATTTTCAAGTTTACAAAAAGGACACAAGAATAAGTATAAAGCATGCTCCTATGCCTTTTAGCCAGATGTACTCTTTTTTTTTTAACATTTTATCCCATTTGCTTTATGATTTGCTGGTCTGTCTGCCCATCTCTGCCTCCTTTTTTCTGAACCATTTGAGAAAAAGCTGCATATACCATGGTGTTTTTACTCCAAATACTTTAGTGTGTCTTTCTTAAAAATGGGAATATTCTGTTAGAAAACATAGTACAGTTATCAGCTTGAGTACATTTAACATTGATATAGTACTTTTTATCAAATCTGACATCCATATTTCAGCTTTTTTAACAGACTCAAAATACCTTTTTGAAAGCATTTTTCTTCTTCAGTACAAGATCTAGTCTACGGTCATGTAACACATTTAGTTGTCATGATTCGTTAGTTTCCTATAATCTGGAACATTTTTATAGCCATCTTTTGTCTTTTATGACACTGACTTTTAAAAGAATACAGTCTTTTAAAAGATAGAATAGTCTTCATTTTAGGTTTATTGGGTCTACTCCTCATGATTAGATCAAGTTATGCATTCTCACTTGGTATATACTCAAGTGCAGCTATGTCCTTCTCAGGGGGTTACCTATGGAATACATGTACATCCAATGATTCTGAACAGAGAAGAGGTACTAGGCAGGATTTATAACTTAAAAAAATATATATGTAAGTCTTACTTGTTTTCATTTGTGCAGAAAACAAGTCATAGGCAATTCTAAAAGAAGAGCTTGTTCTCCATTAGTCAGTTTTGAAAGAAATGATTAAAATATATTTGAAGAAGAGTGGTTACTTTGACCCCATCTTTTAACTATAATTTCAAAGCAGAAGCAGATCATACACACACACACACATACACACACACACGAGAGAGAGAGAGCAAGAGAGAGAAGAGATATTAATTGAATTTTGAAATGTGCATGATTTAAAGCTCTGGAAATAAGAAATCTAAATGTGTAAATAAGAAGTATGAGAAAGAGTGACACATTTTGGAATAGTCATGGTATTGCTGTGGGATGAGGTTACATATTACGAGGAGACCCACACAGAGATTGATTAAGCTGAGCTTCCAACAGCTCAAGTATTGTTTTTTGAATATACAACTCTTTAGAGTCTAATCTATGAGGCTTAAAGTTGATCATATTTCAATATGTACATACATTTCCCTGTTGGGAATGATGGTTTTAAAACAATAGATTCACAGCTCTTGTGAGAGTACTAAAATTTGCTCTTGTCCAATGTTTTCCCACATGGAAAATTACAGTTTTATCAGACTTAAGTAGATTTGGAAGAATTTTAGAAAAAGTTTGGGTTTCTGCAAAGCATATTAATTTGTTGAAAAGTGACTGTGCTTTGTTTCTTGGAGAAAAACACTTAGTATGCTGATGAACAATACTATTCTCAAATTAATGGAAAAATTTCCATATTCTGCTCTGAAACAAGACTCTGGAAAACAGAACCAGTGAGTGAGCTGGCTGTGTGCAGAAAGAGGGAGCTGCAGTTTTGTAAGGGCTCATGTATTCCTTTGATTTACTTTTGGAAATGTTGGGAAAGCATCACAGTCTGCATACTTCAGCACTTTTTATAAAACTTTTATTCTTTGTCCCTTTCTGATTTGGGTTTATTCAAGGTACTAGAAATACTTTGTGCTGTATTAGAAATTTTAGAAATAGTCAAATAAATGAAGAGACTCATAGGTTCCTCCCCTACCCTCAATTATTCTATCTAAAGTCTAAAGATTTTAATTTTTTAATGTATTTTGCCTGGGTAGGCTTCTAGAAGAGGCCTTCTTTGAAGGCAAACCAGTGTCATATTCCTCTATGAAAGGGCTTGTAAGTACATAGTGCTCTGGTCTTTAGGTGTCACATTGGCCAAGATGTAGGAGCATCTTTAGTCTGATGTCCTTACCCTGAGCTTGGGAAAATCCTGAGCTACTTACTGAAGCCTAAGGATCTGTGGACATTATGCTGCTCACTTAGAACCAATGTATCCATGGTGACACCTTGGGGACATTGGAGACACACCAGGTACCAGATACTTCCAGGCTCTTTTGAAGGTACCAGTGTTGTTGGCAGTGATCTTTGGTACCCTGCTCTACCACTTCCTTTCTTTGGGGCTGGGGATGCTTAAAATTCCCTCCCAAGCACCAACTTTGGTCTTATCCACTGGGCAGATATTTCCTTTCATGTAAATCCCTCTCTGCTCCTTGTCTTTTTGTCTGTGCCCTAACATCTAGCATCCTTCCTCTTCCCTTTCTTACTGTAGTGAAGCTGAAACTGTGAGACAGCAGACCACCAATGTCAAGGCCCTCCCCTCATCCCCCAAGAAACACAATATTCCAGACAGCACTTTAGCCCCATTGGAGCTTGTCTTAGGCTGATATTTCCGATTTATAGCATTTTAATAGTCCTGGCATTCTCAGAAGCTTACTTCATCCATCTTTAATACAAATTATATCTCTGCCACCAAAACCTGATGTTGACAAATGTGCATAAGCAAGTGGCTGGAGGTGCCACTAGGTCTGGGTGATTTATTTCAGTGCTTCTTCTAAATACTTGAACTTTCCAAAAATAGTCCTAGCTTTCTCTCTCTTGCCTTCTCCCTAAAAAATACCTTTATTCTAGGCACTATTTTATGACAAAGCAGGCAGGAGAATTTCAGGTGTTTAAAAACCTTCTGTCATCCAGCAAAAATGAGAAACCCAGGGCAGTGGTCTATTTAGCATCCTAATGCTTGTCTCTTTTTCTGTGCAGGCTGGCTACATGTCTGGGATGCTGGTTCCTGTAGGCGTCGGGATAGCCGGAGCCTTGTTCATCTTGGGAGCACTCTACAGCATTAAGGTCATGAATCGCCGAAGGAGAAACGGCTTCAAAAGGCATAAAAGAAAGGTATGGAACCAACAACAGCAAAACCTAATCAGTTTCAGAACATTCTTCGCTTTTCCAATTAGCTTAATAAAGCACACAGGGCTTAATGATGCACGAATGGTATTGACATGCCCAGTGGTTTGGATTAGCTGCTACAGCTGCTGCCTTGGCTTCGGCTTTGTGTGTTGGAGTCCCTTTAAAAGGGGCCTGTTTTTCAGTTTTGCTCTGCAGCAGAGGGGGTTTAATGCTTTTCTGTTTTCTTTCTCCAGCAGAGAGAATTCAACAGCATGCAAGATCGTGTCATGCTCTTAGCCGACAGCTCTGAAGATGAGTTTTGAATCAGATGGGAATTTCATTGGGATACTCAACTGTGTTATTATTTTATTTCTTATTTTGGGGCAAAAAAAGAACAGCATCCTGCCACATCACTGCTGTCAGGCCATCAGGCTTATTATCTATTGGGCAGTAGATTTCTCTTATACTGAGCAGGAAAGGCATGATGTAGACTTACTATAATATGCAGTGCTTGTTTTTAATTCTGTAGTGAATGTTCTACAACCATAGGCTACAACTCATCAATATGCAGTGTACATGTTGTTCATTAGAAGTTGCTAGGTAAATATTTTGTATTTTTGCAAAGGGCCTTTTCCTTGATTTACCTGCACTAAGTATAATGATTATTGCTGCCAAAGCATGTTGACTCTGAAATAGAAATCTTAACAGAATGGCTCATGATGACTGCATTTGGCCTACTTGAAGTGGTAGGCTTCTGGGCCACGGTACATCCTACATTTGTATCAAAACTAGCAGCAAGCTGGAATGAAGATCTCTTGGTGCATTAGGATAATATGTAGATTTGTATCTATCTTGAATTATATTCTCTAGTCTCTCAGTTTTATTGTTTTGCATCTTCTGTCTTATTCTTCGCAGGAAAAAAAAATGCACCAGAAATAATACATTAAATGGACTTCTCGGTCTTAATGTAAACTTGCTCTCTTAAGTAGTATAATTGAGTCCAACAGATGTGTCAATAGATGCTTACATGTTTATCACTAAGAGGTGTTCTCTTTGTGTATCATTTGACTTTGCAAGAAGAAATGAGGAAGAAATCAAGAAGAAAATGAGGTAGGTAAGCTCTCTGAGCTTTTATGTCTGCCATGTGGTTCTGTGCTTGTGCGACCACTATTGTGGATTATTCAGAGCATTGCTTTTCTACTTCTGCAGTCTTGGCCATGGAATTATGGGGCCACCAATGGTTCTTATTCGACTTTATTAGAAAACAGACATTCTGTGGTATATGCAGGCTCAGTGGCCAAAGCCCTGACACATGATGGAGCTTACAAAAACCAAACCTCTCAGGGCATCCTCTTTTGGGGATGTTGGCCTATGCTAGATTGTTTCTCATTTCTTTTGGAATGTAATTCCTTGCCCTATCTTTGTAGTCTGGGTATTTGAGTTGAATTTTTAGGTAAAGAATGGGTTTATTTGCATGGAAGAATAAAGGTTACTAGTAACACTGTATGCAGTGTTACTACTCTCTCCATTGTTCACATTTATTGGAGCCTGCGCTACTATATTCGAAGCGAGCTGCACAGTTATTCCTCAGAGCTACTGTGTAAGGTAGGACATATGTTTTTGTTCTCCCATTTGACTGAAGACAGAACCGAAGCAGAGAAGTGAAGTGATTATCCAAAATTATATCCAGGTACAATCAGGACAAGAACCCACTGGGATTCAAAACTGTGTATCCCTATCATCAATTCAGTGCCCTTCCACATACTTTGCAGGAAGCAGTGACATTTCAGAGTTCTTTAAAACCAAGATTCTAAGGAAATACAAGAGACCCTTGAACAACATGGGATTGAGATGCTTGGGTCCACATATATATGCAAGATGGTGCAGTATTGTAAGCATATTTTCTCTCTTATGATTTTCTTACCATTTTCTTTTCTCTATCTTACTGATTGTAAGAACACAGTATATAAAACATTTTATATATGAAACATGTCAATTGGCTATTTATATTACAGTAAGCCTTCTGGTCACCAGTAGTCTCTTAGTAGTTTTGGGGGAGTCAAAAGTTGTATGTGGATTTTCAACCATGCCCGCTGAACCCCTGTGTTATTCAGGAGTCAACTGTAGTTGGTTGGCCAAGGAACATGTCACATGAATTTCTGTCTTTGTTAAATGAAAAATGCCTTACTAATTTCCCTCTTACGCCAATTCTTTTCCTCTCTGACCTCCGCTATTTCCTTAACAACCACATAAATTTAAGTATCACCTGTACAGAACGAATAGAGAAACTTTGTAGAATCCATCCTGGAATGATAACTGGCTTACAAGAATGTTTTCATCTTTTTTTTTTTTCCAAGAGACATAAGCAAATGTGTGAAATTGGCCAAGAGAAATGAGAAGCTCTATACAGTCAAATAGAAGTTAACAATTAACAAATAAGTTCAAAGTCAGGTTTTAAAAATAAAATTCAGAACCATGACACTCAGAAATGATTTGTAATTTCATGACCCAAGACATCTTGATATCGCATAGGGTATGTTTGCCTTTTCTTAGAGCAGCCCCTTGCTGTAAGTATTCCTAAGGTTAGGAGGAGGTGGGCATGACATGGTGTTACTGTTATTGTATTCTTGACAAGCTATTTATAGCAAACACACAATAGGCCATTTCATTTAACCAACACATTGGCAATGCTGATGGCTATTAATGCCTCGGCCTACTCATAATCTGTAGTTTTAACTAGATCATGCCTAAGAGGTTGAGCTTTCAAACTATTGGATGATAAAGTCCCAAATAATGAACACATATTTTCATTTTTTCCAGAAGGCTACAGGGATGATGTGTGTGCACTATGGCCTCTGCAGAAATGTCTCTGCCGTCCTTTTTTGGGACAGGTGACTGTTAAAAGAAAAAGATGACTTAGATCACAGTAGACTTCTGTACAAACCCATTTCAACACCTGGGTTGGTGGAAGGTTCTGTGGATGTGTTTATTTTGGCCATTTTTCTCCCTGCTGATGGGTGTGAAACAATGATTTTCAATGGTTGGCTGAAGTTATTCAGACAATCAGAAAAGGTTGTCATGTTCTAAACGAAATCTGAGATTGGGGGTGCTGCCACTGGAGGAGGTGCTGGCTGGTGGTTATACTGTAGTCCAGATTAAAAGTAGTAAATCAGGCACTGGTAGGTTTACCTAAAATAAGTGACTTGTAGCTGTCTGGCTTCAGTTGCTAGCACCTTCCCCTCTGAACTGTATTTACTTCCTCAGACCTGCACGAGTCCCAGTGCTGGAGCTGGAACTGTGTCTATATCGTCAGAGGGAGAGGCGGTGGCTCCTAAGAATCACCTGGGATATTTGTGCAACACACAAATTCCAAGGCCCTTCCCCAGACCCACTGAATCAGAATCTCCCAGAGAGGAGTTTGGGATTCTTATGTCCAGGCAAGATAGAGCACAGAGCCGGGAGAACAGCTAGAGAACAGCTTCCTTATTAAGGAGACAAGGGAGAACAGGTTCCTTGGGGGAAGAAAGCCTTTCCCTAGTCAGTTATCCAATAAATCACACCTCCCACTGTGGAGAAAGGAAAATAAAGGGAAGGAGAAAAGGATAGAAGCTTCTAGAAGAACATAGAATCTGGATCAGAGAGAAAAGAATTCCTCTTGGGTTCCTGACACCTTTTTCTCTATTGGAAGATAGTATTTTTCTTTTAAACCTCCTCAGATTTTCCTCTCCTGTAACTTGCTTCTTTCAGTAGCTTCTGGCTTAATTTATATGCAATATTTGGAGTTAATTAGTATCCCAGGGAAACAGATTCCCTTAGCAATGCTTTAGCCTTGGCTTCAGCTCATAAACTGCCTCAGATAAGTCTTCCAGAAACACTTCTTAAAGTACCTATATCTCACACTGGTCAACAATGTTGTGGGGAAAATTTTAAAGCACAGTTTTAGAACATGTTTAACATAGTTTTAGCTTGGTCAATCAAAGTTTGTTCTTTTTTTCGTCATTTTTTAAAAAAGGCTAAGACTTAAAAGTCAAATGTTACAGTGACATCAGAAATAACATAGAGCAGCATAGAACATTCTGAATGCCTGGTACTTCTTTCCATGTTCCTCCAGATATCTCCTTCATGTGGAAATCCAAATGAAATCCCTTATTTGGAATCATATACACATCTTGGAAAGAGAAGCCTTAAATCATCCACAGGCATTGAGATTTATGTAGATATAAATAATCATTGTTTCTATAAGTTGCTAAAAAGCTGCTTTTAGGAATAAGGTATATTATTATCTGGTATAAGTTTTTAGCTGCATGGCCTTTTGACAAGATAGGCTCTGTTATGACTACAGGGAAACCTGTTGAAAAAGAAATCTCTACTTTTTACAGTATGTGAAGGTATGCTAACAGGGGAAGAAGTGTGAGTAGAAGAAGATGAAGAAAAATCTTGATGCAATGCAGCTGTAAACATGGTACAAAACTCTGGAATGTACTAGAGGATGCCAAAGTGCTGAGTGGACCAATGCCTGGAAAAATGATAAAGAGAAACAAGGAGAAAAAGGCAAAAGAGGTAGACCATTGAATGCAGGGGAAGGGACGCTAAATCTAAATTTGTTTTCATCCTCTCCATCAAAGAAAATTACTCTATACCAGGTAGAATGGACACAAGTGGAAGGGAATTGAAGCCTAAAATCGATGAGACAAAAGGAACTTGGTTATTTTAAGCAAGCTTAAGTTCAGTTAAATATCTTTCTTAATTACACAGAATTCAAATAACTGAATATAAGTCTCTAGGAATAGGAAATAATTTGAGAACAGAATAATAGTGTTGACCTAATAAAAGCACCTTATTTGTATGTTTAGTATCCCCCATAAGACACAGATTTTGGGGGCTTGTTTGCTCTGATAATTATCATTTTTTGGCAGTCAACATAGCTGGAAACATAATTCTGTTGCTCAAGTTCTACATGTGACAAAAATAATCAGCATTTATTTTGTAAGCCACTGCTAGCTATACAAATGCATTGGGATTGCCCTATTTTGAGTAACTGATACATCTAACTCCCTGTTAATTAGCTTAAATTTCTATTATGTGTATATAGGATAAAGGAGAGGAAAGAAGGGAGGAAGGAAGGAAGAAAAAAGAAATTTCCCCCAGGAAACAGCAACAAAAGTATAGAGTCAAATCCTATGCTCTTTTGTTCTAGTATGCTTAAACACACAAAACAAAATTGGGGTAAAATAAAACCCTCTCAAATCTTCCATTTATTAAAGCAAAGATCTTACTTTCCCTTCTCAAAAAGCAACAGGAGCAATTATACAAGCAATAATCAATAATAATTTGTAATAGAGAGTATACATGTTCACCATAAGACTCTATCTCCAGATCCAAAGTTCAAGACTGATTTTGTTGAGAGATGTAAACTTTTGTGGAATAAGTATGGAGGAAAGGAGAAGGAGTAGAAACAGAAGAATTAATGAAAAATCCTTTTTCTTCCTCTTCTCAAAGTTTCTTGGTGTGGGAACAGGGTACAAGCAGAATGGAAGGCTAATGGAGTGCTTACTTGTGTTTTTTTATTACCTTGGAGGTGGAGAGGTCATATGCTGTGGTCTGCAAAGACTGAACCTGGTATCAGGTTAGGATCCTGGGGCTTTTATTAACAGTGTACTGTGCATCTCCATATTTCCTTCCTAATTCACACCAACATAAAGGAGGGGGACCAATAGCATTTGAAATATTTCTCCAATTTTATGCCTCACAGCTTAGCTATAGAGTTTGCATAGTTACAGATATCTTTGTGATCAAACGGACCAAAATATACATGTAGGAAAGTATAAGTCCAATCTTCCAAAAACAGAAAGATGTTTGGATACCAGATGATTCAAGCCCTTTATCTTCCAAAAAGAAATTTTGGTACAAAATCTCCAATGATCAGTTTACCTCATTTCCTTCTTTGTGTAAGAGATAAGAGAACAAAGAAGAAATCTGAAATGGTTCTGCAACTGGATGGATCAGTTCCCAAAGGTCTGTGTCAAGGTGAAAGAGGATGCTTAGAGATTCTATGGCAAACTAAGAGCACTGTGATGTTGTTGCTTCTTAGTATTTATTGAATGTCCTTTGTGTGTCTGGCAGTATCTTAAGAGCTGGGGGAGCAAGGTGAGCAAGCAGTCCACGACCAGAAAGAGCTAATGGACTAGTGAGGCAAGAGTAAATGGGCCATTTTATACAGAGGTAAGATGGGATCCAAAAAAGGAGCATCTAACCCTGCTAAGATTGAGGATGTTTCTCCAGAGCCAGTAGCATCAAGCCGGAAGCCAAAGAAATGAGTCTGGGTTAGTGAGGTAAAGAGGGGAATGGGATGGGTCCTCCAGCCAGGGAAACCTCATATGCAGAAGCCAGCAGTGAGGGATCATGGAAAATTCAGCAGTGAGAGATCAAGGAGTTAAGTATGGCTGGAGTGCTGGGAGGGTGGGGTTTGGGGTTTGGGTTGGGGGAAACACATGCAGTACAAAATATGAGACTGATCCTAAAGAGTCTGCTTGTTTATATCAAGCAGTTAGGACTTTATCTTGAGGGCATTTAGAGTCATGGAAAGATCTTATGCTGAGAAGTGGTGCCATTGGGGCTGAGTTCATGGGAAGACTGAATTGGCAAGGGTAAAGTAGAGTCAAGGACAGGGACCAGTCAGGGGCTGGTGCAATAGTGCTGGTGAAAGGTAACTGAGGCCTGGACCAAGGCTGCAGGAGGGAATGCAGGGGGAGGATGGCTCTGAGAGGTGTTCAGGGCAGGGAAGCAGAAGGACTAGGGGGTTGATTAGATATGGAGATGAGGGAAAAGACAAGTGGTTAAAGCTGATCATGGTCATGGCATTTTGAGGCTCTCCAGATATCATGGAGTCTAGTATCCCAGCTTCTGGAGGACTGACCTTGTGTTTTCCCAGCATAGCCAGCCTGAAAGGAATTAACTTACATGTCTGCCAAAAATGTATAGGCAACTTTAACTTTCTACATAGTGTATGCAAGTATGTGGTCATCATGTCACTTTTAATAAGGGGTTCTAAAGAAATAACTTTAAATTTAGTAAAACTTAAATGAAACATCTGGGAAAACCCTCCAAATACCTTTAAGTAATTATATTACTTTGGTAATATAATATAATATAGCCATAGGTATGAATTACTATCTAGGATATGATTGCGTTTCCCTCTTTGAAAAGACTAGTTAAGTTTCTTGTTTGTTGACATGAGAACCAAACCTCTGGATCTTGTTTTGTTTTTGTTTTTGTTTTTTTATTCACAAGAACCAACTTTATGCATTTTATGCATATGGAATCAACTTTCTAATTTTTTTCAGTTTAATTGAGATAGAATTGACATATAGCTTTGTGTAAGTTTAAGATGTGTACAGTATAATACCTGTGTGGCAAAGTGATTACAGCATTGTTAATAAGTTCAGTTAACAGCTGTCTCCTCACATAGTTACAAAAAATGTTTTTTCCTTGTAGTGGGAACTTTTAGGATCTTCTCTTAGCAACTTTCAAGTATATACCACACAGCAGTGGTAGCTACAGTCATGTTGTACACTACATCTCTAGTACTTATAAACAGGAAGTTTGTACCTTCAGAACACCTTCCTCTGATTTTCCCACCCACTCCACCCTACTCCCCAACATCTTCTTTTTCTTGAAAACAAACCCAAGAGGCTTCTCACAAGGCCTGTCTGTGTGAGGATAATGTTGGGATTTGGGTGTGCAGCCATGGAACAAGGCAGGCTCCATCTCCTGGCACAGAGGAGTTTCTGTGAACTTTTGACGGTTGTTGTTGTGGGTTATCATGAGTGGTTAATCTTTCTTAGCATATGAAAAAGCAAGTTTTCCATGGTTGCCATGTTAACACAAGGCTGGATAATGGAGGGTTCAGGGCAACAATGTAGGATTGAGGAAAGGCAAAAAAGCATGAGAAGAAGAAAATGATCACTCCAGTCCCACTCCCCAGAGACAACCATTGTGAACATTTTGGTCTATGTATTTCTAATCTTTTTCTCTGTGTATTTATGATATGTTCTGTATGCATGCTTTTATTTGTACACAAAATCAGGATTATAATTTATATGCTATCTTGTTACCTCCCTATAGTTACGACTTTTCATGGTTGTTTAAAAGAAATAAAGAGAAGGAGGGGCGCCTGGGTGCCCCTTAGTCAGTTAAACATCCAACTCTTGATCTCAGCTCAGGTCTTGATCTCAGGGTCGTGAGTTCAAGCCCTTCATGGAGTCTCCCTAAAAGTCAAAAGGAATAAAGAGAAGGAAAATAGCTTGTGAAAATCCCAAAGTTGTATTTGAGTGAATAAGCTCTTGTTCAGATTTATTTGGCATTTGATTTTCTGTTACTGTCCAGTTACCTCAGGACACTTATGTATGATGTAACTGAAATGAGAGTTGAAAGGGGAAAAGTCTCTGTAAACACAATGCCCATGGGCAAATGTCACATCCCTATGCTCTGAGGGATTGGAGAAGACCTTCTTCTCTTTGCCTTTGCTGCCAAAGCAAAGGTTGTGAGCTTTTATAATTAGACGGTAAGACTGAATTGCTGAGTGTAGTTACTAGGTGGTAGTGTGCGAAATAACGGGAAAGAATACATTTGCTGTAATGACCTAAATTGATTAAAGTGACCTGGATTGTTCAGTTCAATCCTCTTGAATTTAATTAGTATTGTTGTGTCATTCACTATAGCACACACATATTTTCTATATTTGATTTCACTTGGCTAAGGTTAAATGGGCAAAGGTTCACTGTTATGTCCATTGTTTTCTTTTCTCTGTCATTGTTATAAAGGGAAATCACAGCTTTTCACATTCCCCCTCCACATCTTCCTAAAGTTTTAGATATCTTTAAAAACAGTTAATGGAGCCTGGTCGCCCATTTGACCAAGACCTTTGTGTTTCCATTAGCCCATGCCCTCCAAATTTCTTGCACAGAGGGGATATGAAATTAAATAGGGCACACAATAAGGCCCCATGAACTTTATTCAAATAATATTTCTTGGGTTGTGAAAGTGGATTCTTGTTCATGAGTTATTACTAGATTAAAATAGAATGGCATAAGCGGTTGGCAAACTTTGGCTGGATCTTCACTGGGAAGACGATTCTCTTCAGGACACATTTCTGTTCGTGCTTAAGTCCAGGAGTCAATCAAAAGTAGCTGTGAAAATTTTTTGCAAATAAATGAATTAAGGTCTTATTTATCTTCTATTCTAAACAATGAGGGTCTTTTAAAAGTTCAGTTATGGGGAATTACTGAATAGGTGAGTTTTATGCTATGTAAATAAAATGTGAACTAAAAAATGTTAGTGCAATTGACATTTATTTTGATTTAGTGATAATAAAATCATGAACATTTATTGAGCTGTTACTGTGGGATGAATGCTGTACTCAATGCTGTACAAGGGGAAACTCACTGAATTCATACCAAAACTCAATGAGGTAGCCACCTTCGGTCACCAGTGACTCTACTTGATGGGAGAAATCTCACTTGTAGCAAATAACAGAAACATAACACAAGACCTCTAATAACAATTGTGTTGATTATTTTTTCGTGCTGTGAAAACTATATAGCGCTTTAGCCATAATTTTGCCTCAATTTTTAAAGTATTCAATTTTTATTGTATTGTATCAGCCCACAGAGAACATTGGCTTTGGGATAATGCCTGTCAGTTTAGGGCAGCTATAACAAAATGTTGGCTTAAACAGCAACATTTATTTCCCACAATTCTAGAGGCTGTGAGGTCCACAATGTGGATGCCAGCATGGTTGGGTTCTGGTGAGAACCCTCTTTCTGGCTTGCAAATGGCTGCCTTCTTGCTGTATCCTCTTATGGTAAAGAGAGAGAACTCTAGTGTCTCTTTGTCTTCTGATCCGGGCACTAGTCCCATCATAGGTGCTCCACCTTTATGGCCTAGTTGAAACCTAATTACTTTCTTAAGGCCTCACTTCCAAATACCATCACACTGGGAGTAAGAGATTCAACATATTCATTTTGGGGGGGAACACACAAACATTCAGTCCATACAAGGCAGATAATCCATCTCCCAAGGGCTCCAAGATGACGGGCCCAGAGAGAAGAAGACTACATATTGAATTATATCCAGAAACATTGAAAGAATACCTTCATATACCAATATAAACACCTTGCTTCAATAGATAGTGTTCAACAGATGATTCGCTTATTCAAAATTGTTTGGAGTTATCTTCTATCATTTATTGGAGAAATGGTTTGTGATTCTTTAGTGGTGAATTCAAATTTATCACAGTGACTTAAAATAATTTTATATTTTACAAATACTTACATTTGGTTCTGAAATAACAAAAAGGATATTTGTGATATGAGACTTATCAATGTCATGAGAATATTTGTCCTATAATAACAGCCCCATTTTAAAAATTGAGAGTATGCTATATCCATATACTCTTGGTTTCTAGATCCACAAGGCTTTCACATATAGTTACAGTATTCGGCATTGCTTAATATGATTTTTTAACACAAAAGAGAATTATTGTTCAGATTGCACTTGTGCAATACATTACTTCATTAAATTAAGTATATTAAAATAAGATTTGTGTGGCATAGGGTCTATACTTTGGCTAAAGAATTAGTAGAAGGTAGTTTCTTTAGGTTCATTCTTCATTTGCCTCAATAGAGACAAAGTGCATTCTCTCCAGAAACATTTCTTCAGAGGACAGAAGAAAAATACGAAAGAACAACTATGAAAATATAATTCTGGTGGGAATTTTTGGGTGTGTGCTTCTCAAAGGGTGTGTGTGTATGTGTGTGTGTGAGAGAGAGAGAAAGAGAGAGCAAAGTGATCTGTATGATCTGAACTGGGACACATTTGAGAGCAAAGGGGACACTATATTTCTTAAAATATTTTATTTATTTGAAAGAGAGTGAGAGCAAGAACAGTGGAGAGGGGCAGAGAGAGAGAGAGGGAGAAGCAGACACCCCCCCCCCACCTCCCCACTGAGCAGGGAGCTCAGGGAGTGGGGCTGGATCCCAGGACCTGAACTGAAGGCAGACACTTAACTGAGCCTCCCAGATGCCCCAAAAGGGGACACTGTTAATAATTATGATTGGACAATCAGCAAAACAGGGTTGCATGTGGGCAAACAGGAACATAGTAAGGGTGTCTTGGAGGAAGTGTATCAAACTCTCCTTGTGTCACTCCAAATCCTAGTTTTTATTTCAGCCACTGCAGCAGCAATCAGTACACACAGGCTTCTACCAGTGTGTGAGGGTGCAGGTGGACAGTACCTCATTTCTGGCAAGTACCACCTACCTCTCTTTCTGTCCCGGTTTGCTCTGGTATCATGGTATGGGTTGCTGTGGGTCCTTGCTCTGCACTCACCTCTACAGCCTGGAAATGCAGGGGAGCTAAATCCAGT